TTCGCCACTGCCAAGGGCTGAGTCCACAGTGCCACCCCTGCCTCCTTCTGAGGCCACCCGGGTTTGCTGACCCATTCCAGTGGCCAGAGAGCAGTTGAAGGGCCCTGGGGACATGGTCATCATAGCTCAGAGGCTTGTCAGTCTTCTTTGGTGGGGATGGTGGCGCCCTGATGCCTGCTGGCACCACCACCCTGCCACGTCCCCCCACCCTGCCACGTCCCCCCACCAGTGGAAGTGGCCAAGGGAGCTGGCACAGCAGCAGGCTGCGGGATCACGCAGGAGACTGGGCAACACAGGACATGAGGGACATTTCACCAGGGAAGGGGAGGACAAGACAGAGGGCTTAAGTGCCCAGATGATGCACCGAGCGTGGCACGGTGATTTACAGCAGGGTGGGCACTCTGCACTGGCCTCCGCCACCACCCCTCCCTCTCCATACCCTGTGCCCCAGAGACCCGCGTGGGGAAGGCGGCGTGGCTGACGGGCACGGCCCAGCACCCTGGCTCTGTCTTGTCTCCTGGGGACGAGCCCTGAGCAGGTGCTGGGCAGAAGGCACAGTGAAGAGGACAGGGCTCCTGTGTGCCCAGCTCTGACATCTGTCACCTGGGGTCATCGGCCCCGTCCTGCAGATGGGGAAGCCGAGGACGTGTCTGAGGAGGAGCCTGAGCAGGCAGGCGGCTGTCCCGAGCCTGAGCAGGCAGGCGGCTGTCCCGAGCCCTGGCCTTTGCCTTTGCCACGACTGTGCCAGGGCCCTGGGGAGGGCAGGGCCTGGGGCAGCCCCCTAGAACCAGTGTCTCTGCAGAGCCCTGGTGTCAGAGGCCACAAGGCAGCCCTGTCCACCTCCTATCTCCCACCTGGACCAGGGCCCCGACCTGTTCCTGGCTGAAGGCCAGTCTCCTGCTGGCCCTCGAGGACCAGCCCTGTGCCCTCCACGGCTCCTCACCTGCTCTCCTGACCATGGCTGGGTCACCTCCTGGCAGCTCCCTGAGCCCCCACCCACACTGCCCTGGACCTATAGCTCTGAGTGGGGTGGCCAGTTCACCTGAGTGTCGCCCTGCAAGCAGCTCGGGCAGGAGGGCCAGCACCCCTCTGGGCCCTGGGGCCTGGCACTGGCCTGGCTGAGGAGGGCTCTGGAACATCTGGCCAGGGCTGTGTGGTCTTGGGCCAGTCCCCCTCCTGCTCTGGGCCCCGGCTTCCCCGTCTCCTCTGACCTTAGTGGGTCTCTGGAGAGTTCTTGGGTCCAGCTTGGAGCAGCTGCTTCAGGCCTGAACATGTTCCTGGCTTTGCCCTGAGACCCTGCTGGTGGGCTCCCTGGGGAGCAGAGGGGTCTGCCCAGCACCTCTTCATACAGATGCAAAGACCTAGAAGCAGCTGCCCGCTCTCCCAGGCAGTTGTGATACGGTGACCTGGTGGCACTCATGCAGCTGTCCAGCCTGGCACACTGGGCAGGCGGAGGAGGCGTGTCCGCGGGTGACATTGCGCTGTGATCCCGGCTGGGTGGAGGAGGCCCACATTTGCTTCTGTTCCCCGCATCTTGCTCACTGAGCACCCGTTCCTCCTGCCGTGAGGGGACGGCTGGAGCCGAGAGACCCAGGTGCCGCTGCGTGTTCTCCCCACAAGGAGAGCCATCGACAGAACGTGCAGAAGCTCATGTGGCTGGGCAGGGAGCCCCGTCCCCCGGGTGTGTTCTGCCCCTGAACCAGGAGCAGAGGCCACCCGGAGCTGAAGGCCAGCTTCGATGACCACAGAGCCCACCCTCGTTGGTCTCCTTCCTGCGGCTAGAATGTTCCGAGTCAGGTCTGCATGTGACATCTCGAGAAAACAGGGCTGCGTTTCCCAGTTGCCTGAGAACCAGCTGTCATCTTGCCATCGCGGATGAGAACGTCATTGGCGATGAGCTGAGCAGAGCGTTCTGGGCGGCGTGTGGCTGTCTGGCTGGGCTGGCCTTTCCAGAATCAACTGGCAGTCAGTGCAGTGCTGCAGGGGACTGCCCCGAGTGAGAACCTACTGTGCGCCAGGCAGCTGCTGGGAATCCCACATGCCAGCGTCTCTCTGTCACCTCTGGATCTGTGCCGTGCTGCAGGAGTCAACAGCCCCCCCTGGATACACAGAATTGGGGCTCAGAGAGGCGGGGCTCAAAGGCCACACAGCCTGGAGGCTTCTGCTCGGCCTGCTGGGCTCCAGGTTCTGCGTCCTCTCAGAGGCCCCCTCAGGCTGACCCGGGGGCACTGCACTCCCCTCGCCTTGACACCATTGACTACTTGGTCCCCATCAAGCGGCTGAGCTGGGGACATGGCCCTGGTTTGTGTGTCTGCTGGACATGGGACCTGGGAGGGTGTGACCAGCCCATTCCTGACTTGGGACTTGCTCCCTGTAAGGCCCTGGGCATCTGGTACAGTGTCATCAAAGCTGGTCCCTGTGCATCCCATGGCATTTGCCCATGTAAATCCAGGGTGTTCACGGGACTTACCTTGCAGGGACATTCTGTTCCATGTGACCCCGGGGACACAGGTGGACCAGGCGAGACTGAGTCCTTGGGGTCTCTGCCCCATGGTCTGAGCTCATGGCTCGGCCAACATGGAGACCTGCCCCCACTCAGAGCCTCCCAGCCCCAGGGCCTGCCTCAGCAGAGTCCACCTGGCTGTGGCCTGCTGTCCTTGAGCCTGTGTCCCCAGAGGGCCTCGCAGCTCTCCCCAGACTCCTCCAGCCACGGGCCAGGCCAGAGTCCATCAGCCGTGTGAAAGAGGCTGGGGAGGAACTTCTGCAGGCACCAAGTCTGTGGTGACTTCTCATGTGTCCCCAAAGTATCCCTGAGGGATTGGTGCCACTGACCACGGAGTCCCCCTGTGGCTGGGCATGGAGTGTACTTCATTTCTGACCCTGTGTGTAAACCTAAGAAGGGGACATGTCCCATCTTATAGATGAAGAGACTGAAGTCCAGAGAGGGGAAGGGGCTGGTCTATCTGAGACCCGATGGGCCATGCTATAGATGGACCCTGTGGGCAGGGCCAAGGACCCAGCTGGGTTGAAGCTGGACAGGCCTCCAGGACTCTGCATGTCTGGTCTGCCAGGTTCAGTGCCCACCCTGATGGGCCACAGACCATGAACGTGGCTGGACTGGCTCTGTCACACGAGTGACCAGAGCATAGGGTGCAGGCTCTGAGAGCAGCTGCAGGAGGCTCAGGACCCTGAGGGGAGGGGCTCTCCCACCAGGTAGTGGAGGCCCCGGGGCCCAGTAACCAGCCCTGAAACTTGGCAGCGACAGGAGGACAGGTGAGGAAGGACAGGCAGGGCACGAGATGGCGTCCACCTGCCTGGACACTGGTCACTTGGCTTGCTGTGCATTGAGTTGTGGGGAGAGCAGGTGAAAGGGCTGGAGTCTTTGGCTGTTGGGGACAGTCTGTCTGTGCCCCTCTGAGGTTGGGGCCTGTCACAGTGCTCCACATCTGGGACCCAGACCCTTGCACTCCTGTGTCTCCAAGGGACGGTGCTAAGACCCCCAGAGCCTCTGTCCCCTGCAGCCGTGGCCCCGCAGCCTAGAGGCCCAACTGGGTCGAGGTACTGTAAGTCAGACTGTTTCCACAGAGCGGGGCCTCCCTGCCGGCCTGGGGGTAGGTGCTCTGCCAGCCCTGGGCGGGGTCCTCGCCTGGGTGGGGCCCCAGGCTGCTGTGCTGTTGGCTGCGGGATGGAGGTGCCTCCCGGGTGGCACAGGTGCGGCAGCTGAGGTGAGCCACGAGGTCTCGCCGGGCTGGGGCGGGCAGCTGGCCCGGCTCTTTAAGTTGGGTGTCTGTTCCCCTGGGCCCCAAGGTAGGGGATTCCTTCTGGCCATGCCACAGGTGGGAGGGGAGGGGTGTCTGGCCATCAGGCAGGGGCTGTGTGCCCTCAGGGGGTCCCTCCAGCCTCTGGGGCTTCACGATTCCTGCCAATCCGACTTGAGGAGTCTGGGGACATTGCTCAGGAGGGTGGGGGGAGCTAGTGGGCACCGAGACTGGTGACCCCACCATACCTGCTCTGTTCCTCTGGCAACCCTGACCCTGTCGGCAGGAGAGTGGACCCCCGTCCTCAGGTGACAGGATTTAGGAAGGGTCAGTGCTCCCGAGAGGACTGGCCACACCTTCTTGTAATCAGGGTCCCTGAGCCTCTGCCCAGCTCAGAGGGGGAGAGAGAAGCAGCGGGCACCACCCAGAGGCCTCAGCCCAAGGTGTGCGGGCAGGGAGGGGCGTCATGGCCTGGGCCTTGGTGTCTGGCCAGTCCTGCTCTGCTTCTTACTGGCTTACAGAGATCACTCAAGTGGCCACTGGGGAAGATCCCAGGTCCCATTTCACTTCAGAAGCCCCAAATATCAGGTGTTCCCAGAGCGGGGAGCGTGTGGGGCACTTCTGTCAGGTGCGGGCCAGGTGCTGTGCTGGCCCAGGACACCTGGCTGTGTAAGTGAGGTCCCTGCCCCAGCGTTCCCAGGCCTGGGGAGGTGGCCAGGACCACGTGTGAGAGCTGATTTTGAGGGACCCATAGCCTACTGCTAGGGCTAGGAAGGTCCCTGACGCAGGAGGGCTCCACAGGAGGGGACCTCGAGGGTGGCTGGGAATTGGGCCTGTGATGGGGAGGAACTCCCAGCCACGGAGAGTGCCACGTGGAGCTGGAGTGAAGCAGGAGTGGTGTCCCTGAGCACCACCCCAGAGTGACCGCTCAGCCAGGAGCAGGCACCCCCAGGCCAATGCACCCCTTCCTCTGAGGCCAGGAGGGCCTCCTGGTCCATGGCTGGGCTTCCAGGGGCCAGCTTCTGGGGTTTGCTGTGGAGTGTGGGTCAGGCAGGCCAAGGACAGGTCCAGCAGGGCTTTCCGTGGGGTCCTCCCTGCCGAGCTCCTGATCGCTGGGCCTCTGCACAGTCATAGCAAAGAGGGTGACTGAGGGGGGGCAGGACCCCCAGCTGACCCTGCCCCAATCTTGTCTTGAGCCACCAGACCTGCCAAGCTGACCCCCGGTCTCCTTGTGTCTTACAGAACGTGGCCTGTCCTGGAGTACCGCCCCGGAGGTCGGGAGCCCACCGAGGGCCGTGGAAGACCGTCCAGCCCCTCGTGGCCCAGGTAGCTGCATCTTGGCCCCAGGCGGGGCGGGGAGGGGCGTGCTCTGGCTAGAAGCTGCCCGGGAGTGGGCGTCCTGGTAGAGAAGGGACTCCAGCCCCAGCCCTGCCCTTGCGGCCCCCCCTCGCAACCAGGCCCACCTGCCAGAGTTCCCAGCAGGTGAGGGGACGTCCCCCAGGACAGGAGTGAGGGGACAGTGCAAGGACACCCTGGCCTGCTGCGTGTCTGTCCTGTGGCCTGTGATGCCCAGCCTCCTTGAAGCAGAGGGAATCGGGCAGGGACCTGGGCCTGGGAGGACAGGGAGGCCGGGTTGTTGGCTCTACTGAGCTGTCCTGTGTGACCACCCCCTGCAGGCAGACTCACCCCGCCCACCTCCCAGTGTCCTGCGGCCCGAGCCCCAGGTTCCCCTCCTCCAGAGCTCTGGGGGTGCCAGCCCAGTGCCTGTGACCTCGGTGCAGAAGCCCAGGGAGCCACATGGTCCCTGCGGTCAGCACCAAGAGGTGTCGGGCGTTCATAACTCACGGAAATCCACCCAGACATTTGGCCGGCCCTGGCTCTCTCCTGGCCTCCCCTCTCAGCTGACCTCAGGAGGTCTTGGTCCCTAGCTGTCCAGCCTGCTTCAGGAGCACGGCTTTGGGAGGACAGGGTGTGGAAGTCCCCTAGCCGGCGAGGACACAGGATGGTGGCCAGATGGGAAGTGGTCACCACTCGGAGGACTCAGGACCTGGGTGGCTCCCCTCGGTGGCCCTGGGTCCGCTGCATGTCACCTGGACAGGGCAGGGGAGCCGCCTGCTGAGGGCCTGTGTCGGCCAGTTGCAGAGCTCAGGGTTCTCGGGCAGCCCCCCGCTCGCGGAGAGAGCTCCGCGCAGTCGGTCCTTACGGCCGCCCAGACCCAGGCTTGGCACCGTGAGCCCTGGGGACCCACGGTGGTGGCTGGCCTGCGGGAGGGGCCTAAGCCACAGCACCACAGTCAGACCCCCCGGTCCTGTCCCCCGCCCGCTTACTGCTCTGGGGTCTTGAGGGGTCACGGCCCTTCCCTGGGATTCTGATTTCTCCTTTGTGAAGAGGGAATCTGGCCCTCTCCATCTCCCTCCAGAGGAGGAAAGAAGGGACCAGCTGTAGCCAGGCCGGCGCCCAGCCCCGCTCCAAGCCAGCCAGGCCTCCCCCACCTCTTGCAGAGCTGAAGCCTACACACCCCGCCTGCACCAGTCACACGGGAGGAAGGGAGTGGAGGGGTTCTTGCTGGACAGTTGGAACCACATGGACAGGGTAGGAAGACAGTGGACGACAGAGGACATCGGGACCCAGGGAAAACTGAAGGAAGACCTAGAAACCTCCCCGTTGGTGGAGTTCAGCTCTGAGCTTCCTAGCAGCCAAAGCAAAGAGAGAAAGACATTCCTTGTTGAAGTGACATTTGGGGAGGACTGACATCATGGTGGTGTCGAGAGGGAGCTGGCCGGTGCTGAGCTCCAGAGGCCAGCTCCAGAGTCCCACAGATCCAGCCCCGGCAGGGAAGAAGATCCAGCTGGGGCAGCTCAGGCTCAGCTCCCAACCCTAGGACCTACACAGAGGGCCACGCAGGCTTTGGCTGGGCCTGACTGTGAACTTGCATCTCTTTGGTCCCCAAATTCACATCCTTGAAGCCGCACCCTGCTGCTGACTGGTGCATCTCAGGAAGGGGTGGACCCAGGAACCCATGTTTGAGTCCCTGTTTGGCCAAAGTCACGTAGACACGGTGGCTCCTGAGCCGTGCCGGGCCTCGTGGGGTTAGGGCAGAGAGGGCCAGGCGCAGGGTGCGCAGGAGGGAGGTGGCACACTCTGGGCTGCCCCAAGACTCATCCCATGTCTCTCTTTCCAGGTCTCAGCCCCTCCTCTGACCCCTCCAGGTGAAGCCCGAGGCTGTCCACCTGTCCACCTCAGGTCAGTGCAGGACTTTGAATGTTGATGGAAATCGGGGTCCTCTGCACACCACTGCCTTCATCTGGGCAGTCCTGACACTGGACACCTCTGTGACACAGGCGCATGCAGCCTCACGGGCCTGCAGGGACGCTGAGGGCGGGCCTTCTCGCCCGTGGCAGGGTCTCACTGCTGGCTCCTGCCCGGCTCCTGCCCCTTGCCACCCTCTCCGTAGCTGAGGGACCAGGGTCTCCAGGACTTTGAGGGCTTTCCCAAGTTTCACCCAGGACCTTGGACTAGGACCATCTCCTAAGCCCTGGCCACCCTGAGGGCTCTGTAATGGCCAGGGTAGCCTGGGGCCGGTGACCACAGGGCAGTTGGCCTTTCTGCAGTGTTGCTCAGGACTCAGTGGGCTAAGGTCCCCCTGCCACTTGGCTGCCTAGTGGCTGAGACTGGGGACCTGCCTGCTGAGAGGCTGCCCTGGTTGTGCCCTCGCCAGCCCCTCCCTTGGGGAGCCAGCCCACAGGGGCCAGCCCTGGGCCTGCTTGGAGGATCCAGCCTCAGGGGAACCGGTGGCCACGGGGGTCAGCCAGGGCTGGCCTCCTCACGCCCCACAGGACCGTGTCCTTCCACTGCGTCTCCTGGGGGCTATGGGGAGGGTGCCAGGCTGCCCCACACGAGCTGGAGCAGTCCACCTGGGCCGGGACCGCGGTGCCCTCTGGGCCTCTGTGAGCTCACGAGGCGGGCTTGCCCCAGGCCTGTGTGTCGGAGCAGGGCCAGGCCACCAGCGGCAGCCTGGGGGGGCAGGATGCAGGGAGGGGGCCTGCTGTGTGGAGGGTGCGGGGGCCTCTCCCCCTCCCCTGGGGGCACCTGCTCCTGCTGGCTGAGGACACCTCTCCATTGGCCTTGACGCCCTCGGGATGGACTCACTGTCCCTGCCTGTCCTTCAGAGGCCAAGGCTCAGGAGGCGGGGAGCAGCCAGCTCCCTGCCTGCCTGCAGCCCTGGGGACTTGGGACACCAGCGTGGGTGAGAGGAGCCGTGGGAGGTGCGAGGGACCGTGACTGGCTGGAGATCGCTCTCCTGAAGGCTGCCCAAACTGGCCAGGGCAGGGAGAGCTGGGGCAGACAGCTCTGGGCCTGGTCCCCCACCCAAGGCTCCCTTTCCTGTCCCTCCCGTCCCTCGCGCCCGGGCTGCCGTGCCCCACCACGCCCCAGTGTTGACCCCGGGCCTACTCACAGTGGAGTGGGAGGAAGCAGGGCCGAGGCCACGGGGCCACCCAGTCCCGGTGCTGGCTGGTTCTCTGTAGGAGTTGTCCCCGTCCCCTGGTTCCCCAGCCTCCCGGCCTCCTGTGCATTAGAGGCAGATGTGGGGCTCGGGACACCGAGGCTTGGGGCCCAGGGTGGTGGGCCTGACACCCAGCGTGACCCACCCTGGAGAGCCACAGGGCTGACCAGGCTCTGACACTACAGTGGGGAGTGGCCCAGGGGGCCCCAGCAGCAGACCACAGACCTTCACACCTGAGGGTACGGGGGGTGGGGGGCTGCCGCCTCAGGTGCCCAGGGCGGGCTGGGGGGGAGCAGGTGCTCCGCAGGTGCCCCCAGGACACCCGCCCCTGCTCTTGGCTCCCGGCAGAACCCCTAGGAGCAGAGCCTTCCTCCAGCACCCACCAGGGGTCCCCCGCCCCGCTCACTGGCCTTCCTGGGCCAGAGCGGAGGCCACCAGGCCAGGTGGGCAAGGTGCCCTTGGAAAAACGCACCTGGGGACGGGACAGGGGCCCTCTTTGATGTGGGCTTCACAGAGTCCCCTGCTCAGAAGGGTCTGGCCCTCCCGGTGGCTACTTGGCCTCGGGCAGGTGGGCATCGCTCAGTGCCCGGTGTGTTGGGGTGGGAAGCTCACACTTGCCGGATCCCCAGGGGCGGGATTTGAACCCAGGAGCCCGAGGCTCTGAGGCCCATCCACCCCCACTGAGGAGAGGTGCCCGGGAGACCTCCTCAGTGGACTCTGGAGGCCACTGTGCTGTCCTGCCTGGGAGGTTTCAGGACAGCTGTGGTTGCACTTTCTGTGGCCTGGTGCCACCTGCCCTCGTACCTTGTCACCATGGCAACCACACCTGTAAGAATGGAGTGGGTCCAGCTGTGGTGACACCAGCCTGTCATCCCAGCAGCTCAGGAGGCTGAGGCAGGAGGACTGCGAGTTCAAAGCCAGCCTCAGCAACTCAGCGAGGCCCTGAGCCACTCAGCGAGACCCTGTCTCTAAGTAGAATATAAGCGAGGGCTGGGATGTGGCTCAGTGGCTCAGTGGCCCTGGGTTCCATCCCCAGGACTGAAAAAGAAAACCAGGGTGAAGCTGGTCTCCTTCCAACTCCACTCCTGCTCTCTGCCCCGGCTCTGCCCCGGGTCCCGTCAGAGGCCCAGGTCCTAGGTGTGTGCCCGCCCCTGGCCTGGTCACCCTCTGAGGGTCCTGCTGCTGTCCTCGTCTGCTTGCCTGTGAGGTGGGGTTGCTCTCCATCCCAGGTTTTCACTCTCACGGGCCATGAGTGGTGGTCAGGGGGCTGGACCAGGCCCTCGAGCTGACTCGACTTTCCATTGGGGTTCTAGTAAGATGTGGAGACACATGGAGACCAGAGGTGAAGAGGCAGGGGCAGGAGGACAGACCCACCCCGGGCTTCATCCCTGGGGCGGTCTGTGGCCCTCACTGAGCGCCCACGTCTGCCGGGCCCTGCCCAGGGTGGGCGTCACACTGGTGCTTTTGGAAGCAGAGGGCTTCTTCCCTGGAGGCCAGAGGGGGGGACAGAGTAGCGGTGGGTGGTTACTTGGGAAGCTGCTGGTGTTGGGCGTGCTGGGCACAGTGGACCTCACCACATGGACAGGCCTCCAACGCACCCTGGGGCTGGAGCCACAGGAGGTGGGGAGGGGGCCCTCCCGGCACCCATGGATGGCCACTGTGGCAACTGGACCACTTCTGGCACCTCAGCCCTGCTGGCTGCTCCAGGGTCCACTGGGATCAGGGGGAAGTTACTGCTTGGCCCAGGTGGCCCTGGGATGCAGGCCAGCACAGGGGCGGGCTCTGCCTAGGCCAGCGAGGACCTGTCCTCTGAGTCTGGGCAGAGGAGGACTTCTGGTCCAGGAGGACAGGATGGCGAGGCCTCACTGCCCTTGTTGGGGGGCCTCCACTGTAAGGTGGGCAAGCTCTTGGGCAGGTGCCCTGACCCCAGGATCACCCAGAGCCTCTTGAAGGGAGTGACAAGCCGTTGGAAACCCTGGATGACCAGGGTCTTGGGCAGGATGAAGGTTCCAGAAAGGGCCAGCCTGCCCCACTCCCTCTGGCCAGGCCACCCAGAGCAGTTTCCGGAGTGACGCTCCTCCCCTGCCCACCACCCCGCCCCCGGGCTTTGGCTGCCTTTGTCTTCCAAGGGCTCCACAAAATGGCCGCCACGGCCCTCCGCCATTTTGTAACTGCGGCGGGCAGTGTCCTTGGGAGGGGAGAAGGGAGGGAGGGAGACCCCTGCTCACTGCCTGCCCTCGTGGCCTGGATAGAGCCCAGCACCAGCCCCGCCTGCCCGGCCTTGGCCATGGCCACCCCAGGCTTGGCACAGCCGCTTGGCAGGGAGGCTGGGAGGCCTGGCCCCTCACCCAGTCCCGCCAGCCCCTCGCCACCCCGAGGCAGGCCGCAGACCAGAGCCCAGGAGCAGTCCCTGAGGCCACGCCACAGAGGGAGTCCCCGGCAGTGGTGGCTGGGAAGACGGTTCTAGAACATGTTTGCCGTGGAGGGCCCCAGGCTTGGGCAGCAGGGGCAGGTTTGCTTCAGGATCCAGCGGGGAGGGAAGAGTACCCTCTGGGCCCCACCCGGGCCCCACCCGCCCCTTCCTACTGCTGACCTGGCCGAGGACCTGGGGGCTCCCTGGCCAGACACAGTTCCCAATGCTGCGGTCCTGCAGTGGTCAGGCGGGCTGTTGGCCTGGGCCAGGCTCTGCCCATCCTTGGGGAAACAGGCTTGGGGCTTCCTGGAGGAGGCAAGCCCTGGGCTGCTGAGGTTCTAGAATGAGCCAAGTGGGGCGAGCTGTCCCCAGCCACCAGCTTCCACAGCCTCCCCTGTCCCTGCCCAGCTCGTGTGTCCAGCAACCTCAGCCAGCAGGCACGTCCTCGGAGCCTGCTCCTGGCTCTCTAGTGTGTTGATCCTGTGACTTCCCCGTACCCGGCCGACCAGAAGCAGCACGTTGGGCGGGGACCTGGGGCGGGGGGGGGGGGAGCCTGGGTACTGGGGGTTCACCCCAGGTTGGCCCCCGAGCGGAGGCATCCCTGGCCCTGTTCACTAAGGCCTCACTAAATTGCTTAGGGCCTCTGTCAGTTAATGAGGCTGGCCTTGAACTTGTGACCCTCCTGTCTCAGCCCCTCCAGCAGCTGAATGACAGGCGTGTGCCATGGTGCCTGACAAGGCCTGGTTCTCCCAAGGTGGAAGGGAGCAGGCCCCGTCCCTGCTTGCCTGTGACCATTAACAAGAAGGCCCTCAGAAGTCGGCGGAAGCTCCCCGCAAAGTAGGGAGGATGCTGAAAAGTGCCCAAAGGATGGCACCCCGCCTCTGGGCAGCACCCCACGTCCTGGGAGGCTGGGCTGGGGTCCCCACGCCGTTGAGGAAGAGCTGAGGCCTTTCTCCAGCACCCTGTGGGGTCTCCCCAAGCCCTTCCTGGGCTCCACTTCTGCAGTTCCCAGATGGAACGTTCTGTCACCCCAAAGGGAAGGTGGCGCAGGTCCTCCCTCCAGGGAGACCGGCTGAAGACAGAACGATGGGAGCCCTCCGCCGCCCGGCTGCCCAGCCCATCGCTGTCCACGTGCCACAGCAGGCCTGGAGCCTCCTGGAGTTCAGCCGCCCAGGCTCCCTGGCAGGAGGAGCTCCCCAGAGAAGGGCCGCCGGGCGGGCAGGGCCTGAGGAGAACCAGGCTGCAGACGGCCGCACGAGGAGGGCAGGCCTCGGGTCTGACTCAGGGTGCCAGGCAGGGGCTCCACCCGGAAGTGCCACCCTCCTCTGCCTGCGCGGGGTGCTCAGGGCCAGGGAAATCTGGGGACGAAGAAGTCCAGATGTTGGCCACTGTGGCCCTGTGGTGGGCCCGAGGCTGCTGGCCCCTGCACACAGCCCTGGCAGGACAGTCCAGCTGTTTGGCGGCCCAGGCCAGAGGCCAGGCCAGCATGCCTGGCCCAGCTTTATTTAAATCAGGTATTTTTATGCCACGGACCTGTTTGCATTATTGATTGTTTTGCAGATTTCACAAGAAGATGTGGCTGGGGCCTGAGTTTTGACCCTTTAAAGTTCTCCCTTGCCCGAGTCCCAGGCCTGACCGGCGCACAGTGGGTGGGGCCACCTCTGGGCCCTCCCCGGCCTGCCAGAGTGGCAGAGCTGTGGGGTGTGCTGACTTGATAACTTTGTGGGCCACGTCTGTGGGGAGACCGGCCCCCGCCTGACCCCCAGCCACCCCTCCCGGCTCCTCCCCAGGCCCTTTGTTGGAGTGGCTAGCTGAGCAGACACTGGCCGCCTTATGGGAGAAACCTAATCAGGGCAGCTGAGGGGGGGGTTGCCGGAGGGGGGTCGGGTCTGCTCCAAGTGGCCCTGAGCCAAGCCCGAGGTGACTTCAGGGTGACACCGTCTGTCTGCCTCATTCGCTCCAGACGTCCGCTCAGCCCTGAAAGGGCCACCTGCCCATGGAGGCCTCCGGCGCACCTGTCCCAGCCAGTGTGGCTCCTCCCCCTCCCAGGCTGCCCGGCACCCTGCCCACGGCCAGACGCTGCAGGCCAGGGCAGGGCCGGAGCCGGAGCTGGCAGATGGCAGGACGTCTGCTGACGCTCGCTCCGGGCGGCTTCTCCCGAGGGGTGCTATCACGCCCATCCCTCCAGGCCCGCGCCCAGGCTGGCAGGGAAGGACCCCTTGGTCTGTCTCAGGCCATTCCCTGGTGTCCTGACAAAGTAGAAGTCTCTGTGGCCCCTCAAGGCCCGAAGCCCATGGTCACACTCGGGTTGGGCAGGTAGGCCCAGCAGATGCCAGCCCCCGGCCTGGAAGCAGGTCTTTCCCCCTCTCATTCAGAAATGGCTCCAGCAATAGGTCCCAGACCCAGCGGTGAAGGCCCTGTCCCAAACTGTGTGGTTGGCTGAGGACCCTGGACCCTGGGTGAGCCCCCTAGGTGGGGCAGAGCAGTGCAGGGAGCCCTCTGGGGCCACAGTGTCTGTGCCTGGCTTCAGAGCACAGCAGGGTTCTGTAGGAGAAGAGTGCGTCCATGGAGGCCCTGCCTGTCGGCCTCGGGACTGCAGCCCAGGAGGCAAGGGCAGGCCCAGAGCCCACTGAGCAGCACAGCGCCTGGTGGGAAGGGGCAGGAGCTCCTGGCAGAGGGACAGGCCAGGGCAAAGGCCCGGAGGCAGGGAGGCCTGTCCAGGGCAGGGAGGGGAGCCCGAGCTGGTGGTGCCCGGTGGGAAGGAGCAGAGGCTCATGGAGAGGGTGTGGGTCGTGACGGGCGGCCTGGCCGTCGGGGAGTGCAGGCAGGCTGGCGCTCAAGGAGAGGAGTACCTCCACATCCTCCCTGCACCCTCAGTAACCAAATGGCCTAATCTTGCTGTCACCATGGGCCGGGGACACCCAGGCTCAGAGAGGCCACCTGGCTTGAGGTCTGCATGCTGGCCCATGTCTGGGCCTCGGTGTGCACCCAGCGCACCGGGCTCAGGCCTGCAGCCCCCAGCTGCCCAGGCTTCTCCCAGGGCTACCCACGTCCCTTCCTGCTGGGGTTTGTTTCAGCGTCCTCCCACCCCTACTGGCCCTGTGAGGGCACTTTGGCCGGAGTGGGCAGAGGAAGTGGGATGGCAGTTCCTCCCTTCACAGGCCTCGCTCCCAGTCGCTGCCCCCGGCCCAGGAGCACTGGCTGCCCGGCCCTGGCTGTTCGAGGACAGGGCTGGGACTTGGTCACCTCTGACCCAGCATTGTCCAGTGCAGGGCTGGCCATGAAGACCATCTGATCCTGGTCTGCAGGTGGGCAGTGCCATTAGGTGAGAGACAGCTAGCTGAGGAGTCCGTGAGGTGACACTCAAAGAGGCGGCCAGGGGAGGCCACACCCCCAGAGGCTGACGCCTGCCACTTGTTTCTGCAACCAAGGAGGCCGAGGGTGGCTCCCAGGCAGCTGCTGCTGTCCACAGCTGGCCTTCCTCCCAGTGAGGGGGCCTCTGACCACCTGCTTAGGAAAGTCGGCAGCCACAGAGGTTCTGCTGCGGGGGGCCGGGGTCAGATGCTCTGGCTCTTCTCTCCCTGCCCCCGACTCAGGCCTCTGCGTGGGGGCCTCGTCCCCCTGCCAAACCTTGGCCCGAACTGCACCTCCCCTGTCTTCTTGCCTCTGGTGGAGTGGACTCCTCAGCTGACCCATGTCATCTTCCTGTGATGCACGTGACATGGTGACCTTGGACCCTGTTGGTCTCTGCAGGTTCTTCCTGGCCTCCCCGTCAGACCAGACATTGCAGAGCGTCCACGTGGAAGAGGAACCCTCAGCTCCGCCTCCGTCGCACCCTGAGGGCTCACTGTCCCCAGCTTGGGGTTGTGTGCACCTGTCCCTCTGCAGGCTTGCCCAGCCTCGAGAGCCCTGGGGACAGAAGGTGCCGAGGTAGCCCCCCTCTCTGCCCTTCCACCACTCAGCCCTCCAGTGTGACCCCGATACTCTCCAGTCACCTCTCCTGACTTGTCGGCCAACCTGGGATGCCACACAGGTGAGTCTCACCTGGACCGAGAAGAAATGCCACTGAGGGAAACTGAGTCCCGTCTGCTGCTGCCTGGCTGGGCTGGGGTCCAGGGGAGAGGACTTGTGGCCAGGGTGGGCCAGGGGTCTGTCTCTGTCCCCCACCGTCTCACGGCTGTGGATGGTGAGCGCTGCGGGCTCTGCATGACCCCAGGCCCCGGGAGGCAGGCAGGTGCAGGCTAGGAGCAGGCTCTGGGTCTATGAGGGGGCACACGCATACGTGTGTCCAGCTCTGCTTGTTCATTAAGAGCAGCCCACCTGGGCGCCATGGCCACACCTGTAATCCCAGCTTCTTAGGAGGCTGAGCCAGTAGGATTGCAAGTTCAAGGCCAGCCTGAAACCCTGTCTCAAAAAATAAAAAGGGCTAGGGGTGCAGCTCAGTGGTAGAGCACCCGAGGTTCCCTCCCCAGTCCTGCAAAACAGAATGTGGCCTAGAAAGTGCCGGAAACATCACAGCACACAGGGTCTGTGCCGGACTCCCGGGGCAGCAGGCGGCCAGGTTCTCAGCCAGCCCCTTGGCCTGGAGTCCTGCTGCAAATCCTCAGCGGCAGAGGCTCAGAAGTCCCAGAGAGAGCCCAAGGCGAGGCCAGCCTCCACCTCCCTTCCGTGGGGTCCAGATGGAGGCGGTTGATGGGACCTCTAGTCCCTCTCAGACATCCAAGTGGGGCCCTGGGCTGGGAGCCAGTGTCCTCCCTGGTGGCTGGGCAGTGCCAAGATGCCCCCAGACTTCGTGCTTAGACTGCTCACCAGCGGACCATCAGCCACCCCAGGAGAATCTCCGGGACCTCGTCCCTGTCTGCCAGCCCAGGGGTGCAAGCTTGAGGCCGGGGACAGCTTCTGTGCACACCTCCTTCCCGGGCCTTGAGGAACATGGGTGTCTGCCACCGTGGCTAGACGTCACCTCATGGGGCCCTCCTGGCTGTGCCCCGTGGGAGGGAGAGTGCTGGACCTGAGCCCCAGTGCTATGTTTGTGATGGGCACCGGGGACTCGTTCTGGTGTCCCCTGGGGTGGGGAGCTGCACAGTGTCCGCGGCCCACCCAGAGAGCAGTGGCTGAGCACAGCAAGCAGCCTGCCTGCCCCTGAGGTCTGTCATCTGGGGCCAGAGACCCTACCCTCTGAGCCTCAGCTGCCTCACTGTGAAGTGGGGTGGGTGGTCCCAGCCCCACCAGGGCTGTGAGGACGGGGTGGCATAGCCTGGTGCCTGCCTGGAGGAGGCAGCCTGTCAGGAGGGGCCTGAGGGAGGTCTGAGGCAGTTTTCAAGACCGCGTGGACATCAGGGAGCTCAGAGCCGTAGTGCCACCTTCTAGGCTGGAAGCAGAATGTTCCAGGGGCTCTGTCACCAGGAGCTGTGTGACCTTAGAGAGTCACACGACCTCCAGGCTCAGCCTCCTCTCCTGTGAGAAGAGTTAGCAGAAGTACTGTTCACAGCCTCCCCACGGGGTCCCCTGGGGAGGTGACGGCCACACTGGTGGCTGTGGTCAGTGTACTCGAGGCTGTCTTTGGAAGCTCTGGGTAAGACAAGGGCCCCCTACCTGTCCAGGGGAGCTGCCGGCCTGGGCACTGCCCAGCCCGAGGCCCTGGGTCATGAACACGGTTGGTGACAGCAGGAAGCAGTCCAGGCCGTGTGTGGGAATGGGTCTCGGCCAGGCAGAGCTGCCGAGCACCCTTGGACACTTGGCCCTTGGCAAGTGACCCCTTCCTCCCAGTGTCTCCGACGCAGGAGGAATCCCTGGGGACGTGTGGCTGCTCCTGTCGGAAGGCAGTGATCCAGTTGCCTGTGACCAGAGCCCCTGGGCTGCCCCTCTGCTCTGCTGTCCCTCCACTTGGTCTCCTGAAGCCTCTTGTGCCTGGTGATGCTGGCGACCTCAGAGTCCGGGCCCTCTGCTGGCACCTGTGCCCTCAACAGCAGGTCCTGACCCCCTCCCCAGCTCTCTTCCCCTCCACAGGAGGTGCCCTTGGGAACCCGAAGTCCGACTCGGCGCCAAGACTGACCGCCCTTTGGGGTGAGGTAGTAGGTTGTATAGTTTGGGGCTCTGCCCTGCTGTGGGTTAACTATACAATCTACTGTCTTTCCTGAAGTGGCTGTGATCTCTGCGATGGACAGACGCCGCCCTGGCTGGGAGGGCCTGGGGCATGGGGCAGTGGGAGGGCTAGCAGGCCTGGGGGCCGCGTGCATGGCCTTGGATGGGTCCCTCAGCACCCTCCCCTGAGTCTCGGTTTCCTCCTCCAAAATGGGACAAATGGGGATTGAAGGAGATGCTTTGTGACCTGTCCAGGGCAGAGGGGCTCACAGCTGCTGCCGCCCACTGGGCGCAGCTGGCCCGGCCTCCCTCGGGCCCCACATCAGGCCCAGGCTCAGGCCTTCCTGGGGAGGGTCTGGACTGCACCTGGCTCCAGCCGATAGGGCAGCGGATAGAGCTGCAGGCTGGCAGCTCAGGCTTGGCTAGGCCGGGGGGCAGTGAGGGTCAGCCTGGCCCGCCACCCCCAGGCAGTCCGCCCACATACCTGGGGTGGGCAGCCCGTCCACCTCAGTGTCGGGCCTCCCCTGGGGTGGGGGCGGCCAAGTGGGAAGCGAGCGGAGAGGAGCGTTCTCTGAGCCCTGGGTGCCCACAGGCACAGCGTGGGGGTGGACAGTGAGACCCAAGTCCGGGGCCTCCCAAGGCCGGCCAGCAGACACACTGCCTTTCCTGACGAGGCGTGGTTTCCACCTTCTCTCCTGCCCTGCGCCTGCCCTGCGCCTGCCCGGCCCTCCAGCTCCGGTGGCCACGCGTCACGGGCCAGGCTGGGCGGGCGTGGGGTGGCGGGGCGGGAGGCCCGCCTGCAGGGTGAGCTGGGGCGCCCGCGGGGTGAGGTAGTAGGTTGTGTGGTTTCAGGGCAGTGATGTTGCCCCTCAGAAGATAACTATACAACCTACTGCCTTCCCTGAGGCGCCCAGACACACGTCGGCCCCCAGCAGGGCCACCCCGCTCGCAGGCCCTGAGGGGGCCTGGTCTGCAGGCCAGTGGGGCTGCCTGGGGCCAGGACGTCAATAAAAGCTGTTCTGACAGGATTTGGAGTTGGCCCGTTCATTCCAGAAGCCCAGGGGCGGAGGGCACGGTTCTGGGGGGTCACTGGCAGGGAGCCTCCAGGGCCAGGGGGCTAGCTGTCTGGAGCTCCTGGCTACCCACCCCAGGCCCCAGTACATCCTTCACCCTGCACACACCCCTTTGAGCCAGGCGCGCTGAGCACAGAGACCCAGCCTGCAGCGCCTCGCAGCCGCGGTCAGCAGCTCAGCCCTGGTGCCTGACTGGACCCTGGAACCCCTGGACCTGTCTGTCTCTCCACACCCCCACCCCAGGCCTGAGTCCTGGGGCGCTCTCTGCCCTTCCCTTTGCTGTCTGCCCATGACCCCTTCCTTGCTCCAGTGTCCGTCCACCCTGCCCCCCGCTCCAGCTCTCCTGCTCATCACAGTGTCCCCACCCTGTCCACTGCTCAGGGCCCACCTCTGGGCCTGCAGCCAGGCCTGCCCGAGCTGACCGTGAATGTCCAGGGGACGCCACCTTCCCTCCTGCTACCTACACCACAGGGCAGCCAGGTGCTGTCCTGCAGAGCTCAAGGCCTGGGGGCGCAGCCAGCGACACAGGCAGCCCCCCTTGAGAGCTGGACCACAGCAGGGCCGCCCGGGGGAGGGCCTGAAGTCAGGGTGGCTTCCTGAAAGAGGCAACAGCTGGCTCACCCCGCGTCCCTTCCTGACTTCCGGTGCTGGGCCTCGGCTGACTGCAAGGTGTCAGGTGGACATGTGGGCTGTGGAAGGGGACTCTGGTCAGCTGCATTGCCTGGCCAGCAGCAAGGGGGAGCTCTGGGACGTCAGGCCCAAGCCAGCCTTCTACTCAGCACGCCTGCTTCCCCTTCCCGTGGGCGCAGAGAGGGGCCTGCCTAGCCATCACGCAGGGGCACAGAGCTGCCACTTCAGAGGGTGGCCTTGTGCTCAGCTGGTGTGTGTGAGAGGGTGGTCAGAGCCAGGCTGCATGGTTCAGGAGGTGGCTCCTGCCCCTGGACCTGGGGACAGCTGGGTTCGTACTGCGTGCTACGTGCTAGAGGACCCAGGGACCTGCCCCAGCCCCTAGATCAAGCTCCCCAGACAGGCCTACGGGTCTGGCCCTGAGCACACCAGCTGGTCCTGGGAAGAGAGCCGGGCCAGGACCCCTCAGGTGTCCCCAGCATGTGGGACACAGCCTAGGCCGGCCAAGCACATCTGTATCCTCCTCCTAGAAGTCAGAGACCCCAGGCTTCTGCAATGTCCAGGTTGGGCCTTTGAGAGGCCCTAAGTTCCGAGGAAGCCACCTCTGACCCTGGACCCCAGGAGGGATGACTGTCCAGCAGACCCTGCATCCCAGAGCTGAGCCAAGGCCCACCTGGCATTGGGGGCACTAAGGGACAGGGCTGTGGTCCAGGATGAGGGCTGGGGCCAGTGCAGGGGCTGGGTCCCCACATCAGGCCTGCCAGGGACCGCAGGACTGTTCAGTTCCACCCCTTTTAAAATCTAAAGGACAAATGAGCATTAAAATATTAGCATGTACCATAGATAAGGAATGTTGATGTGATATAAACATAATAAGCCAGTGTGTGCTTTTTATTGTATGACATGCACCGCAGAGTGGACAGTGGATCTTAGGCTGTCCGTGGTGTCTCCCTGGGTTATATATTTATCTTTACTATTCCAGTCACAAATACACTGGGGGGGACTGGGGCTGTGGCTCAGAGGTAGAGCGCTCGCCTAGCATGCAAGAGACACTGGGTTCCATCCTCAGCACCACATCAATATAAAATAAAGATATTGCGTCCACCTAAAAATAAAAAATAAAAATACATACATACATACCTAGAGTGGGGGATATTTTTATGGAGGAAGGGCCCAGGAAGGCTGTGCCCATTCCAGGGTGAGCCCCTCCTTCAGTTCTGAGCCCACTGGGCCTGCTTCATGCCCACACTTCCTGGCCCTCAGGAGACCCTGGGTTCACAGCCCCCTGGGCCACCTGCCACCAAACGGTGCCTTTCCCAACAGCGACCCCGTGTGGCAGCAGGAGGCAGTAGCAGCTGTGTGAGCCCTGCCCACCCTCCAACCCAGCAGTGTGTGTGTGTGGGGGGGGGGGTGACTCTGGGCTGCAGAAGTCTTGGGTTCAAGGACAACTCTGGGGATGGCTGTAGGGGCCGGAGTCTGAGCCGCCTGGAGAGGAGAGGTAGGTGTTTGTTCTGTGCCCGCCCTGCCCCCGCCTACCCTCTCCGCTGCTCTGTGCTGCACCATGTCGTGACATTCTGAGTCACAGGGAGGACACTGAGCCCCAGGTGACAAGTTTGGCCACGTCCTGTGCAGACCCTGCTTGCTGCCAGTGAGCGGGCAGTGCCATCCCTGTCCCACAGCACCCCCCCAGCCTCTGTTCCCCTCCAACTAGCCACACAAAGAGCCAGCCAGGGAAGGGGGCTGGAGGGAGCCTCCCCCCCAGCAGACACCTGCAGCCCAGTGGGTGCAGGAAGGGAGGCCGTCCTGGGGGGGGGACACGGGGGACGCAGTCGGGGTAGAGCTGGGGAGGGGCGAGGATGGCCTGTCATTTGAAGACCTGGAGATGGGGTGGCTTCCGGCAGAGGGGGTGGCACAGGGAAGGCTGCAGCCTGGGAGCCCAGGTGCTGGGGGCCAGGGCCTGGGTCTCGCCCCCACTGTCAGGGCTGTGACCCTGTGGCAGACTTGTGCCCATCTAATGGCATTTAGGAGGCCTGGTCTCTGTGACATTGCCCCCTGGAACAGGCAGGGTCTGAGAGGTAAGGGCTGGCCACGTGCAGGTGAGGGCAGTGTGGTGGGACCGCCTCACTCGGAGCCCCATCTCCCTCTCTCTTAATGGGGAGGAGCCCCAGCTGTGCTGCCACCAGGGAGGGAGCAGAGGGCCATCAGGTGTGGCTTGCTCAAAGGGCTTGGATCCCACTGCTGCTCCTACTGCTGAGCCTAAGGACACGTGGGGCCACCAGGTGCCCTGTGGCCGCCTTCCCACCCTGCCTGCTGGCCCAAGTTCACCATCCACACGCTGCCAGCCAGTGCCCGTGATCCTCCAACCCCTCCAAGACCCCAGTGCCTCCTGAGCTGCCCAGCCAGGCCCAGAGCCCCCGCTGCTTGAGTCCAAGTGGGAAGCCAGGTTTCTCTCTTAAGGGGGACAACTTCTCTGGGGACAGGAAAGGAAGGCTCAGGCCACAGCTGTAAACACTGAAGTGTCTGCCACGGGCCGTGGTCTTCAGGGCCATCCCTGGTGGAGCTGCCTTCCCCGCCCATTCCAGGGACGAGGAAACGGAGACTCAGGGCAATGGAGCAACTGTCCCAGGGCCACACAGCAGACAGGATGGCCTGCAGGGGCAGCCAGTCCTGGAGCCATCCTGCCTGCTCAGCTGCCCGAGGCCTCGAGGAGGAGCAGGGGGAGGCCTGGGCCCAGGAACTGGGCCAGGTCCGGGCCCTTCCTGCTTAGCACCTGAGGGTTCACCTTGGCAGGTGATTGGCCACCCCACAGGAAGCGACTATGCCCTCAGGTCCGACCTGGGCGGAGGTGGTGGGGCTGCCCTGGATGGCCTGGTCCCAGCTCCTGTCCTCCCCAGGGCCGGGCGTCTGGGCCTGCCTCCAGCCAGGGCCGGGTGCAGCACATCTGAGTTGGTTGAGAAGAAAGCGCCACCTCCTGGGCCTCCTGGAATAAGCAGAGGGCGGCGGTCCCTCTCCCCGCTCTCCCCCTCCCCTGCACATCCCCGCTGCCGCCTGCGCCTCTCTCCCCAAGCAGAGCTGAGCCGGGGCCTCCCCATCTTCTGTCCTGGCCTGGTGGGCACCACCAGAGTCCAGGTCCCGGCAGGAGCTGGGCTCCAGGGGCTGAGCAGCTGGCCGGGAGGCTGGCCATGTCAGGGCCCAGGCGGCTGCTGGGGTGGCCGAGAGGTGAAGATGGGGAGAAGAGAGGGACGGGGATGGGGGGCAGGAGGCGGCGCAGGGGCGAGGAGGCCCACAGCTCTAGCCTTCAGCAGGAAGGAGGAAGGGCCGAGTTTGGTGCTGGGGGTAGTGGGAGGAGCTGTGGGGGCCCTTCCAAGAGTCCCCAGGAGGAGCAAGCACAGGGAGGCCAGGGACAGGCCCTGAGACCAGTCACAGGGGGAGGAGGCCCCGCAGGAGAGGACACCAGAGGTGCCCTGGGGGATCCGACAGAGACAGGGACCCTCCTAGCAGGGAGGGGGCAGTCATCGGGAGTGAGGAAGCCCAGGGCAATGTCTGCAGAGGTCCCAGTAGAACCTAGGGACCCACAAGGGTCCACCACATGGTCCACTGCCTCATGGGGCCTATAAACACTTCAGTGTTTATAGCTGTGGCCTGAGCCTTAGGGAGCACCCCAAGGCCTCTGGTAGAGTCGAGGTGGTCTGAGGTCACCCCCAGACAGAGGCACCACTCCCCTAGGGCCCATGTGCCCCAGCCAAGGGAGGCTGAGCTCCGGCGCCAGGAGCCCTGCCAACAGCTAGGACTCTGGGCCAGTGAATCTTTCACTCCAGAAACTTCTACACAACAGAGTAGCCTCCGGGTGTAGCAGAAGGAATCGTCCAGCAGGAAGTACGAGCCCTGGCCCAGATGTGCTCTGTCCCTCACCCGCTCTGTGCCCACTGTCCTGACCCAGACTGAAGACAGAGTCCTGGTTCGCACTGTTACTGACAGATCCCCGGGCAACAAGTTCAGCAAGGGTCAGGGGGCTGCAGGGCAGGCAGGCTGGGTAGGAGGAAGGAGGACCCGGCCTAGGAAGGAGCAGTCGCCCACAAAGAGCTGACCCCTGGCTAACAGCACGCGGTGGGCCCTGACACACGTTCCTTTTCCTCCACGAGCTGTCAAAGGCCCAGCCGGAGGGCCCTGGCATCCCTGGGGTGGAGCAGGCTAGCTCTGCCATGAGGGAGAGACCAGAGAGATGTTGAGAGCCACAGCCAAAGGGGCCCCAGCAAACCTCCAGCTGCCAACTGATTGGCTCCTCTGTGGTGATGCTCATTGGGCTGTTTTCCTGCCCTTTCAGACCA